TTTATTTAGCAAAAAAAAAGTCCAATGACAGAAAAAGCAAAAATGTTCTAGTTCCAGCTTCCTTTTATATTTGAGGATTTGCTTCTTTATGATGATGAAATTAAATATCTTTGGGTTTTGAAGTAGCTGGGACGTTTCAGTTCCCAGTTTCTAGATGTGTCGCAAGAGGAAATCATCAGCAGCAGGCACTGAATTTATTTAACATTTCAGTGATGGACTTTATACTAAAGCCACAGGCTGTTACAACCAATCAGACACCTGTTTGTGAACTGACATGTTAATAAAGAGAATAATCTGACGTATTGCACAACTCTCTGTGTCTTTTGCTGAACCAGAGAAAGAACTTGACGAGTACTCCAGCTACTACAACTCCAAACGTCGCTCCAACAACGCTCCGCCCTCCTTCCACTCCTCGCAGCACCACCTGCCCTGGGGAGGCGAGTACACGCTGGGGTCCAGGGGCACGCTGCCCCTCCACGGCTCCCGGCCCCGCATCCACATGCCCGCCTCCACCCCGAACCCGTACCCGCTGCCCGCCCAGAGTCACTACACCAACTCGTCCTTCGACAGGCCGCCGCGCCGCGTCCGCTCCCAGGACCAGCTGCTCGCGCTCGGAGAGGGCAACACGCTGTCCCGCCTGTCCAAGAACCAGCAACACCAGTACTACAAAGCCATGATGAGCACCAGCAGGGGCTCCAACTCGCAGGCGCTCCGCAGGTAAGACCGGAGAGGGGAGAGGACGGAGGGCAGGAAGGGTGAGAGCAGATGAAAGCAGATAAAAAGAAGCAGATGAAATTCTAAAGAGAAAGGAAGATGAAAGACGAGAGGAGATCATAATGTCAATATCAGATGATACGAGAGGATGGAGGAGAGATGAATCAGAATGTGTAATGTTTAATAGTGTTTGACAAGGTGAGGATACACAATATTAAATTAAATCAGTCCAATTTAAAACCTTTAACTTTTTATGATATTTTTAAAAATGAGTCAGATAAGCTAAGCTGAACAGTTCATGTTTGACTTTGGAAACAGCAGTTGACTAAAACATCACTGGCAAATAAACAATAGAAATATATATTATTAATATATATATTAATATATTTAAACCCAACCTTCTACTGTGAGAATGAATAAAACATCAGAACATAAAGTTAAATAATGTAAGACATCAGAATCATTTGGTAGGGGACTCAGTACCTTGCTTAAACTGTTATGATAGATAGATAGAAAGAAAGAAAGA